GGCAATCAGACAGTAAGTCTATGATGATAAAAATCAGTCTATGAGTCAAATAATTAATTATAGTTGTAAAAATGCCAAGGCCGGAACAAAGAGTGAGAGTTTTGTGACCAACTGTGACACAAGTCCCTGTCACAGGCCCCTGTGGGCATCTCAGAACCACGGTGATTCTTATTGCTCCGTAAGGATTTTAAGGATTACTCATTTTTAAAAGCATGACACGTACTTATTATATTATTACCCACAGTGTCACGTGAAACCAGATGATCCCTCATACTGTTCTTTGTTTAAAATATATTTTATTGATTTTTTACAGAGAGGAAGGGGGAAGGATAGAGAGTTAGAAACATAGATCAGCTGCCTCCTGCACACTCCCCACTGGGGATGTGCCCGCAACCAAGGTACATGCCCTTGACCGGAACCGAACCCGGGACCCTTGAGTCCGCAGGCCGATGCTCTATCCACTGAGCCAAACCGGTTAGGGCATGTTCTTGATATTATTTGCTTTGTTATTAACAGTCACTGTTCTTAAATTAGATAAGTAAATATGAACTCTAGTCAAAAATTCCTTTAGTGGACTTTAACCGAATGTTTAAAATAAACTCTTTAACCCCTTTACCTATTTGTTGAATCTGAAAATACCTGCAGACGAGCATATAATCACCCTTGAACACGAGGAGTCTTTCCTTTTCCACCTGCTGACTTTACTAGGATGAATTAAAAATTTGAACAATTGATGTTGAAATGTCAAGGCTAACATGTCACAGAAATATCAAGTTCAGGAAAGTTGCATCTCCTGTTCTGAGGAGTTGACTGGTAGAGTCATCACTGTGTCTTTAAGGATGTGAATGCGATCTCATGCTGTAAGAGCTTCATGGCCACAATCTTAACATTTCCTGTCACAGCCCTCGAGTCAGCCCTCATGCCCACAGTGGGCATGAAAAGTAAAGCAGGTTTCCATTTCATTCTTGAATTCACACAGGTAAGTGGGCAGGTATGTGCTCAAACTCAATGATGCATTATCACTTTAATCCACATATTTTAATCTCATTGCTCTGGTTTTTTTCTTCTTATTTCTTTTTAAATTAAATAATTCTTCACCTAGTACCCTCCATTGCTTTGCAATAAGTGAAAAAAAAAAGTACTGGAAAAAGTCAAGAGCCAGGCTACTACTTGGCCAATGACCATCCAAGACTTTTCATTTCATGCTCTCTCTCTGTAAAGTAAGAATCATAATATCTGGCCCAACTCCACAGATGGTCAGAATAAGAGCACTTGAAATGCTTTGGAAGAAAGGCATAAGAATACTGTGACTTTAACAAGCAAATGGTACAAAATTAGAAAATAAATACTGCAAGTAAATAGAAGAAATCAACAATCTTGGACAATGTTGTTTCTGACTACACTCTTTTCTCTTTGCTATCTACTTTCAAAATATCTTGCAGTTCCATAGTGGCTGAAGTTTATGTGCATATTGCCAAATGCTATAATATTCTGTAGGATCCAATATTACAGGTAAACATTCAGGGATGTACTTCGCTACTGAGAAACAGACTCATTTCTATATCTACCTCACCTCTCAGGCTATAAAGTGATATTTCACTTGAACACAAAGCCTCATTTATTTTGGTCCAAATATCCAGATATGTGGGTGGATGCCTTCTGCCAAGGAATGTCATTAAAGTTCATATCTGCTGATTCCACAGCAGGAAGCATCTGACCATTTGCCACTCTCAAAATAGCGTGAAGTGCTTTTCCTACCTGGAAATAAATTGCTTCCACCCAAAAATACAGACTGAGCACCAACAACATAAAAGGCACTCTGCTGGGTACTGTGTAGAATATAAAGCTGAATAAGTCAGTTCTTGCTCTTGATAAGAACTTTATAGGCCCACATTCTTAGATACAGATCTTAGATTACAGTCTTCTCCAAAGTATGGACAGTGATGATCTCTCCATCCTTCGGTGTTAGTGTTCTGGTTAGGCTAAACGAGTGAATTAATAGAAGAATGGGTATTCTAATGAAGACATTTTTTGTTATAGGATGTCAACCAACAAGAAATCATTTCTAGCCTCTTTAGTCTGATCCCATTTGCTTAAGGACAATAAAAGAACTGAAGAGTGAAAGAAGAAGGATCTATGATAGGACCAGGTTAGAGAACAAGGCGAATAGGAGTTGGAACTTGTAAAGCAGGGGTGGGGAACCTTTTTTCTGCCAAGGACCATTTGGATTTTCTTCTTTGGGTTTGGAGGGAGAATTATTGAGCCAATTCTGTTCATCACAGCATCCCTGTGTCCTCTGCTCTTTGTTAGCCTCATAGAAAAGTATTATTTGAAGTTTATATTGGTGTTTCTTTTTGTTACCATGGGGAGCAGAAGGCTTTCATATCCTTGTAAATCCTAGCCGGAAGTACAGCCTTTTCTATATATATTTGACAGCAATGTGCCTGCAACCAAGGTACATGCCTTTAACCAGAATCCAACCTGGGACCCTTTAGTCCGCAGGCCAATGCTCTATCCACTGAGCCAAACCGGTTAGGGCGCATTTGGATATTTTTAACATCATTCACGAGCCATACAAAATTATCAACTTAAAAATTAGCCTGCTGTATTTGGCCAAATATTTAATTAACTCACCCCTAATGCCTTGGCAGGGCCAGACTGAATGATTTTGCAGGCCTTATACGGTCCGCAGGCCGGATGTTCCCCACCCCTGGTCTAAGGAATCAGTGAAAACAAATTTTCTGCAGAAGATTAAAGAAGAATACAGTTGATTCTAAAACATTAAGATAAAATTGACAATAGTAGCCTTTGTGGGGAGAAAAAAAGAAAATTTAGTGGAAATTGACTTAACCAAAGATTAGAAGGGGCCGGGGAGAACGTTTCCTTTGGCTTCCAGCAAGTGCCAAGCCAAAGCATGGGACCTTAAGCGATGTTCCAAAGAATTGCTAAGCATCTTGTTTGGACAGAGAAGGATGAGAAAATCACCTGCCAGGGGTCCTTGTCCACCTGCTGCCTTCATTACTTACGGCGGCAGTTCTCAAACTCTTTTACCTTGGGAACTTTATATAATCTTTAACATCAACAAGGGCCCCAAAGAGCTTTCACTTATGTGAACGCCATCTAACGGTATTTCTATTACATATTAAAATAGAGAATTTCGAAATATTATTTCAAATCAAGGCAACGACGAGTACTTACTTTTTGTTATGTTTCTCTATAGACTCAAAGACAAGTTCAAGATTTCAACATAACCATTTATTTGAGGATAATGAGGTTATAGCTACCCTGAAGGATAATAGCAAGGTTAGCTAATAAAATTACAGAAATACTGAGATAAAACATTTTATTAGTCTTTATAAATGTCTATTATTTATAAATATATACATATTGATCCTTACATCAACTACCATAGAAAATACTAGAAAACACAAGGATACACATGCAGGCAGGCATTCTATTAGTCAGCAGAGTGATGACATCATTACACATCAGATGTTCTCTGGAAATTTCCACTATACATTCATAAGAAGAATGAAAATGAACTGGAAGGAGTCACTGGGAGAAGTGCTGTTGGACACAAGTTTGTGGGGGAATGTTTTCCTTTTGTCATGATTCTAGGAGTGGGGAGGGAAGAAGAAATAAATTGCCTTTTTCTGTACTTTCATTCAGTGGAGGGAGAGAAGCATATATTGGACTACAGGAAGAAAAGCTAATAAATAGGTTGGAAGTAATATTCTACCAGCAGGAACTTGATAGATCCAGGTAAATGCTTTGGAATAGTGGCTCCTTTGAAGAGCAAAACCAAGATTCATTAAATGTCCTTCAAAGCGTTTATCTTAAAAACAATTACAAGTTTTTAATTATACTGCTAATTACCAAAATCAAGCAATGCAGTTTTTCTTTCCGCTCAATGAATATTAATGTTAGTAAAACTTGAAGTTTGGCATGCCAAATAAACTGGCATGTTTGTCAAAAAACGAACACGTGGTTTGAAGATAAACCAGATCTAGAATACGTATTTGTAGATTTTTGCAAAATAAGATTAAGTTTAATTTTATCAATTACGAAAATGAAAAAGGCAAATTGTCTTTATTATCCTAATGGAAATGGTTTTGATCTCGGAGATTCCTTGAAAAGGTCTTGGAGACGTCCCAGATCCGGGGAGTTTGAGAACCAATGCCACCGAATAACTTTAATGTCACTTCCCATTTCATATTATTACTAAAGTGACTTTTCTCTGATGCATATGTTGTTCTCCTTCCCAGATCACCCTTTTAGGAATGTTGAGTTAAAGGAACCACAAGACCCTCCCCCCGCCCCCCCGCAGCCTAGTGGGGCCCAAACCCGAAAACCTCCCGAATCCCCGAAGGCACTCCGCTGAGCACGGAGAACCCCCTCCTGAAGCCGCAGAATCAGCGGGTCTAGAACCCAGATAAACCAGCCACCCGCGCGCTAAGGCGGGGCCAGAACCGGAGGCTCAGGAGGGAGGTTCTTGCCTAGGAAAGCGCAGCGCGAGCTCCGGGTAGGCGGGCCGGTGCCGGGGGCGGGGCGGCCCCGCCAGGTGCTCCCCAGGTAGCCGCCGCCTCCCTTTCCCACCGATCAGCTGCGCGGCCGCCCGGGATCCAGGCAGGAAGTTCCGTCGCGCGCGCCCCGGTGCCGGTCAGGGCACTCCTTCGCGGACCCCAGGCGCTTCCGTGGCCCGAGCGC